TAGTAATTTTTTTTATAAAACATTTAACAGTATATTAACAGTATATTTATCACTTAAATAACTGGTAGTAAGTGTAATTAATAGTTGTCTATCAGATTATAGCAATAGATGGATTTTTCCCTCCTTTTTTGAGACAGGGCACTGTGTATCTAGTTGTCCTGGAACTTACTATATAGATCAGGCTGCCTTCAAACTTAAGAGAGCTCACCCCCTTTTTCTTTTTTTCTTTTTTTTTTCTCTTTTTTTGTTTTAAATCTTTTATTTTATATAACAAAGTCCAATTAAATGAAAACAAACATTTATACACAATATTTGGGAATTTGGACGTCGTTCTTTCCAAACTACTTCCTGCTGGTAAGGGGCGCTGTCATGGGGGATTCGAAGAAGATTCAGATATCCTGGCTGTAGTCTGTAGGGCTCACCCCCTTTTTCTTGCAAAGTGCTAAAATTAAAGGCATGAGCCACTATTCTGGCTTTCATTAATTTTTTTAAAAGGAGAAAAAGTTTTGTACAACAGGAGGAAATGTTTCATTAATAGAAGTCATATAAATTAAAAAATAATTTCAGAATATATAAAAGTGGAACTTACTGTGTTTTTTCACTTCTAAAGTTTAATCTTTTTATACATTATATCTTAATAATCATATCTATCCTAATTCTTGGGCAACCTCTCGCATGTCTCCCTAGTCCTTTCATGTCCCCTCCTCCCTCCCTTAATCCATAACCTACTGAAGCTAGTCAGTGCTGCCTGCTGAAGTGTTCTGTTCAATTGGTCTTGTGCAAGTAACTGTAAATGCAGTGAGTTCATGAGTGTATTAACCATGTTATGTCCAGGTGTCAGCATTATGTAACACTTCTCCTGTTTTACTAGGACTTTGGCATATATCTCTTGCTTTTCAACAGTGAGACTTAGCAGTGTTCTCCTTATTTTTTGTGATATTGCTGCCAAGTATTTTACTTCCATATGTAATATTCCAAGCCCACAAGATATTGTTGAGAAAGTTATATTTACTTAGATGTACCCACAGATTTCCCCTTTTTGTATATCTGTACCCATGTCTCCTGGCTTCCATGTACTTATTCCTTCTGCTTTAAAAAAAAAAAATACTCCATGATGTTTAGGCTTTTCCTAGTAATATGTATTTTAGTTTTTTGCATTTGATAGTTGTTATTTTTATTTATCCATGATGTGGATCTAATTTGGCAGTTCTTTTCTGTTAGGAATTTTCAATGTGATTCTGTGTCTCAACTCTGTTCCTAGTGAAACTTTGCTGTTGGTTTTGTTTCTTTCTAGCAGAGAATGAATGGGAGCCTTCTGTGGTTTAATGCTTTTCTCTTTGACATTAGTTTTCATATATATGAAACACACACACTCCCTTAGCGAACCCTAATAAAGGTGCTCACTTAATTTTGGAGACAAGATCTCTCCACAGCTTTGAAGGTATTAAGTAGGCTAGCTGACTGGCTCGTCCCAGTAATCTGCTTGTCTATTCCCAGGAATTTGTTTGTCTACTACCTCCCTCCCTCCGTAGTGCTGGGATTGCAAGTGGGTGCCATCACACTCAGTGTCTCTGCTAAGGTTCTGGGAATCAGTCATTTCCTTGCTTGCAGGGCAAGCACTTTACCCCTGATCCCTCAAATCACTGTTTGTTGTCATCATATAATGCACAGAAGAGAAACCAGAACATACAAACCACAAGAGCTGTGAAAAAACCCAGTAAGACATTGTATAGTTATTGACACAAATTTTATATGAAGCTTAGCATATTCAGAGATTTTTTTTAAAAAAGTTAGATATTAAAGGGAAATCTGAAAACTACAAAAAAAAAAAAAAAAACCAAATAGACATTCTACAACTAAAAAAATTCAGTGGGTGGCTTTTAAAAATGGATTACTCATAGCAGATTAGAAACTCGATGGGTCAGATGAAAAGACAGAGAAAAATCACAGATGGGAAAGGACTACAAGAGATAAAGGGAACAGTGCCAAAAGGTCAGCATGCCTAAAGCCATAATTCCAAAGCATGAAAATGAGCCAAAAGCAGTATTTTAGGACATAATCTTAGAAACCAGGATAGTTAACAATGGCTGTCAGTGTGCAGAGCAGTTGGTAGCTGCTCTGTCCAGGAAGCTGGATTGCCTCTGGAAGTTCCCATCTGGAAACGAAGGCCTGGTGGATTCCTGGAGAGCGAGACACTGGTCTGTAGTCCCTCTTGGAAGGCTGAAGAAGCAGGTTCTGGCGTAAGCACAGGCTGACAGTAGCAGTGGTAATAACAAGATAGATGTCCTCACAACCAAGGGGCAGCAAAACCTAGCTTGCTTTTCCCTCATTTTCTCTATCCCACCCTCTGGTGGGATGCCATCAGAAGATGCTGTCCTCTCGGGTGGAATGAGGATCCTGACTCCTCCCTTAGACCTTCCTAAACAGACATGCTCAGAGGCACACTGATTCCAGTCCAGCCAAAGTGACAACCAAGATGAACCATCACAGTACCTGAAGGATGGCACTGCTAACTTCCACAGGCACACGCATTCACACACATGATTTGAGCTCTTCTGTGACACTCTTATCCTCCAAGTGGTATCTGTATTTGCTTCTAATGTTGGAGTCCATACAGTAGCACCCTCAGTTATTTCACTGAAGTTGATTTACCTTTCTGTGATGGCTTATCTATTTGTAGTTCACCTTTGCCTGGGTGGAACTGTACCCTGAAGTGTGGGAGTTTCCAAAGCTCACTTCCTGGCAGTGGTTGCAGTTTCCTCCAGTCTGCAGTGCAAGGCTGTTAACAGGCCTATTTTTTTGTTTTTGTTTGTTTTTAAGCTGTCTTCTAGAACCAGTGAAGAACATTTGGAAGTTTTGCTCACTTTCCTAGCCTTCTTTCTCATCCTGGATTATTGTTGGCTCTTAAGTGCTTTCAAGCAAAGCTTTAGATTACATTTGTTGTTAGACATGCTGGTGCATACTGGTAACCCAAAATTCAGGAAGTACAGGCAGGAGGAGCTCAGCAGTTTGAGAAAAGCCTTGGCCTGTATCAGAGTAAAATCAAAAATGAAGGAAGGACAGATGGACTGGGAAAAGAGAAAAGTATTGTTTATTTGTGGTAAGGGTTTGTCTGCATACACCACACTGGCCTTGAGTTTGCACTCTAACCACCTCTCTTTGCCTTGTGGTGGAATAGGGAGGTGCACAGTCCCACCTGGCTCTCTTAGTAAGTAGTCTTGAGTGATCGAACAGCTCTGTCACTGCTATTACTAGACAAAAGAGCTCCTCTTCTTTGTCCTCAAGCCAGATTTTTTTTTTTTTTTGCCTGAATATGGATGAATTCAAAATACACACATTCTAATTTTCAATAAATACAGAATTTTAGCTCATTTAAAACTGACTTGCTGTATCCCTATTCTTGATTTTCTATTACTCTTAATAGAAAAGAATTCCATCCAAAGCGCCCCCCCCCCTTTGGCTCAATTTTTTTTTTTTTTTAACTTAAATCACTTATGGAGGGGTGTGAAAATAGAGGTTCTAACTTCAGAAGATTAATTTTTTTTTTTATGTACTTGGAATAGTGGTCACGTTTAATTGGAATTTGAAGCAAATGACAATAATCAGAACCTCTGCTTACCCTGGGTGGTTGACAGTACTTTGTTGTTGATCACTGAAATCTGAGACAGAATAAGCAGACTCTAAATAACTCATATAGTACTTAAAGATATTGTGGAAGATCAAACAAGATTAACCTTTGAAATGTTTCAAAGTTCCCATGTGTACCTGAAAAAAGTAATTTTAAATGGCATTTACTTATTTAGCAGTTGGGGTGGGAGGTTGTGTGTGCATGGTGTGTTGTGGAAGTAAGAGGACAACTAGACAGCCAGGTCTCTCCTTCTCTGTAGGACCCAGGGATAGGACTCCTCAAAAGTGCCATTACTTGCAAAGCCATTCGAGGGACCATGCTCTCTCTCTCTCTCTCTCTCTCTCTCTCTCTCTCTCTCTCTCTGTGGGGGAAGTGGAGGATGTACATGTGTTTGCAGGGTTTCTGTTTTCTTTTTTCTTTCGTGTGTGTGTGTGTGTGTGTGTCTGTCTGTCTGTCTGTCTGTCTGCTCTATATGCCAGACAACTAGCTAAATTGGTCCAAGGCTTCTCCCTCCCACCTCCATCTTGGTGTAAACATACTGGGATTTCAGGTTCACACTACTGTGCCCAGATTTCACATGGTTTCTGAGGATTCAAACTCAGATCTTCATGCTGGTGGGGCAAGCGCTATGCCAGTGCCTTTTGTCAGTTTTAATCCATGTGTAGGGTGATGGGATAGTGTTAGAACATTTGTTACATCTAAAAAGAATGCTTAGAACATTGTAACAGGAAATAACCCATTATAAAAGGGTCTTGTATATCTCTTTTGAAAGTTTATATTGAACCACACACACATTTTTCAGATTTTAGTGGATTTTTCCTATGAAATCAGTGTTTTGAAGAATACTTTGTGTAATGAGTTTTGACTTTAACAGTTAAAACTCGTTGGATAATCAGTTGCTTTGAAAAAAAAAATTGCCCACTACTAAAATCAAATGGAAGAATTTTAGATCCTAAAGACTAGATTCTCCAATTATAAATGGAGAAACTGACCCAGAAAGTTGACTGAAAGCTACAAATGGCTTAAATTCATTTTATCCATTTTTGTTCAGAGACTATCACTTTCATTTGAATATGAATTAAAAGTGCCAATGGGCCATTGATTAAGGAGCTTTATCTAGTGACTTTAGATGTGTTGTTTGTTTTCCTTTCCATACTCATTTTAGTCAAATTATTCAAGAAGTTTTGTAAGTATTTTCTTCCACTCCTGCTGTATATCAGGCCCTAATATTAGGTGCTGAAGGTCATTGTTATCTCCTTTGTAATTATAGTATGTCCTACTTATGATTGGCTAGAGTTACCTGTGCTTTTTTTTGGGGGGGGTTACATTATAGCTTGGTCCTTCAAAGTGTGTTCTTTTCCTTCTCTTTTAGGCAACACTGCGTTGCATGATTGTGCAGAGTCTGGAAGCTTGGACATCATGAAGATGCTGCTTATGTATTGTGCCAAGATGGAAAAAGATGGCTATGGAATGACTCCTCTTCTCTCAGCGAGTGTGACTGGTCACACCAATATTGTGGATTTTCTCACACACCATGCCCAGACCAGCAAGACAGAACGTATCAATGCTCTGGAGCTTCTGGGAGCTACGTTTGTAGATAAAAAAAGAGATTTACTTGGGGCTTTGAAATACTGGAAAAAGGCAATGAACATGAGGTACAGTGATAGGACTAATATAATTAGTAAACCAGTTCCACAGACACTAATAATGGCTTATGATTATGCCAAGGAGGTAAACAGTGCGGAAGAATTAGAAGGTCTTATTGCTGACCCTGATGAGATGAGAATGCAAGCGCTGTTAATTAGAGAACGTATTCTTGGTCCTTCTCATCCTGATACCTCTTACTACATTAGATATAGGGGCGCTGTCTATGCCGACTCTGGAAATTTTAAGCGATGCATCAACCTATGGAAGTATGCTTTGGATATGCAGCAGAGCAATCTGGACCCATTAAGCCCAATGACTGCTAGCAGCTTACTGTCTTTTGCTGAACTCTTTTCCTTTATGCTACAGGACAGGGCTAAAGGATTGCTGGGTACTACTGTTACATTTGATGATCTCATGGGCATACTGTGCAAAAGCGTCCTTGAAATTGAGCGAGCTATCAAACAAACTCAGTGTCCAGCAGACCCATTGCAGTTGAATAAGGCTCTTTCCATCATTTTGCACTTAATTTGCTTATTAGAAAAAGTTCCTTGTACTCTAGAACAGGACCATTTCAAAAAGCAGACTATCTACAGGTTTCTTAAACTGCATCCAAGAGGAAAAAATAACTTCAGCCCTCTTCATCTGGCAGTGGACAAGAATACTACATGTGTAGGGCGGTACCCTGTTTGTAAGTTTCCATCTCTGCAAGTTACTGCGATACTGATAGAATGTGGTGCTGATGTGAACGTCAGGGACTCTGATGACAACAGTCCCCTACATATCGCTGCTCTGAACAACCATCCAGACATCATGAATCTCCTTATTAAATCAGGTGCACATTTTGATGCCACAAACTTACACAAACAAACTGCTAGTGACTTACTGGACGAGAAGGAGATAGCTAAAAATTTGATCCAGCCCATAAATCATATCACATTGCAGTGTCTCGCTGCTCGTGTCATCGTGAATCATAGAATATATTATAAAGGGAATATTCCAGAAAAGCTAGAGACCTTTGTTTCACTTCATAGATGATAATTGAAACTGTACTTCAGCACTGTTAAAGCACGACTTGGTAACAGTTGATTCATAAATGAGCACTGTTGTGATGACACCAGCATTCATTTAGCTTGATATCATTGTGCTCTCATTGGCTAAAGCATTGTAAGCATCAAATTTGCAGGATTGGTTTCCCAGTATTTAATATAAATAGACCGTATAATATATTGTTTGTGAATTATTGAGAAATGTGACGTCATACTCAAATTTCTGAAACTGTCTGCCAAAGGCCATTCTGGTTTTGTTTGCTGTTGGGTGTTAGGGACAGAGTTAACTGTTTTCAGTGATGTCTTTATACTTTACTAGTTTGTGAATTTTATACAGTTGAAAGTCATCTTCCCCGGCTCCCCTCTGTCTTCAAATTTTGCCCGTTTCCACTTTATTTTTCTCCCTAACTATTTCCGCTACAATGTTCCCCGAACCTTTGGATCCATGCTAGGTCATAAACCTTATGGACTTGTTCACCATTTGCAGTTACCATAAGTGCTTTATCTTCTCTATGCACCGGCTTAAACTGGACTGTTGTGTGTTGGCATATTCTCTATGCAGCAGTTGGTCAACTTCAACTCAAAACACTGTTTTTCTAAGTTATGAAGTTCCTGTCACAAGAGCACTCTTACAGCATGTCAGTTTTTAGAGTTGCCGGTAAGCAAGTTAAGCTCAAGCTTTAATTTTATGTTTTGTTTGGTTTTGCTTTGTTTCTTCACATCTGAGGTTTCTTCAATCTACAGAAAATTTTTATATGCTAAATTTGGGAAACAAATCTTATTACAACTCATTAACCCAGTTGAAATTTAGGTCTGTCATCTTAGTGTATCGTGCAGTAAAGGAAGACCTTTCTAAAGTGACCTGCCTCTCATACTGCTCCAGCGTTGTCCTGCTTGTGCTGATGGTGTGACTAGGTATAGAGAATCTGCTTCAATTTAACCTCAGAGTTTATCACACAGCTTAATGAGTCACATTGAGCTATTCAGTCATTGAACTGCAGACCACTTTTAGTTACAAAAAGGCTAAAGCATGTCAGTGGCATGATGCTTGCCAAGCCAGATCTAGGCATCTCAGATAATTAAGGTATTTTAGTATGCAATTTACTGCCATAGTATCAAAGGTCAATAACAGTGTTCTTTTTTCCTTTGTTTATGTATATCTTTTAAAGATAACGTGCATGAATTACTTTGATCTCAATTATTTGTCACCCTATTAAACACAAAAGATTGCACAGTGATTTCTGTCCCCTTAATGAAAGCGCCTCCTTCTCTCCCCTCCCTGCCACTTCCCTTCCCCCAGCTCTTTCTCCCTTCTCCCTCTCATTTTTTTCCCCTATCAAAGATTTGTTAATGCCACAGAAAGGGCTCTTTTGACTTAAGATAAGTGAAAATTCAAACGATTCAGGTAATCACTCAGCACTTTACCGTATTCAGTAGAATTTAAAATGGTACATTGCCCTGGAGATGTAATAAGAAAATTGTTATGAATGAAATGCTCCTTACTTATTCTAGAAAAACAACAGTCAGTTCACCTGTGAACTTTGTGGTCTGGGTCACTTGGATTTAGGGGATGCCATTTTATTCTGAGGGTTGATGTAATGTTACTTAAAGAATTGTCATTGCAATCACATTCATCTTTATTCAGTAAAAATTTGTAATGAAGGGTAGTGAATAAAGAACATTAGACTTTTTCATTAAACAATTGAGGTTTAATTCTTTAAAAGGTATCTTTACTCATTTTACTGCATTTTAAATTAAATTTTACCATTGGAAAAATGGATTAGCTATCAATGGGCTCTTTTCAACCCTTTAATGAAAAGGTTTTGCTATGCTTTATTTACTGTGGGCAAGTCTGATAAGATATTTGAGCTGCTATATATAAGAATAATATACCATTTAGACAGATATTCTAGAAATATCAAACTATTTTGAAATCATCTGCCTCTAACTTTGTGGTATGAAAATTATATGTGAACTATTTGGGGGGTGTTTTGGTTTTTTTGTTTGTTTGTTTTTTGTTTGATTGGTTGGTTTGGTTTGGCTTTTGTTTTTTAAGAAAACTTAGCTATTTTGGTAAATCATCATTGGTTGATCTCACTTTGGGATAAAAGATGACAATTTGACTTAAAGGGATTTAATACCTGCCTCCCTGCTTTGCCCAAAAGAATCTGGCTTACATGGTCTTAGCTCCTTCTAAGGCTTACTGTTGTATGGGTGGACTTGAATTTCATAATCCATATGAAATAAGGATATCCTCGCGTAGTGGCTTCCTTCACGAAGAACAGAGATCTAGAACTGGTCTTTAGTCTTGAAAACCATGATGCTGTATTGCAGTCAGAATGTGCCTCCCCCGTTTCTGTTTGCCTACTCCAGAAATGCCCTTGGGAGCTCTTGAAAAGGCAGTGAGGTAGCTCAAAATTAGCCATGATTTTATTTTAGAATAAGATGGTTCAGGTGTGCAACCTCAGATAACTGTTAGGGCCTTTATTTGAAAATTGTGAGACTGAATGAAATAAAATTCAAGTTTGTGGGTTCATTTTTGTCCATGGGGAGGAAATGCTCTAATGTACGAATCAAACTAAACTGGACACCATAGCTTGATAGTATTGGCTGGTATTAATGTTTAAATTTCAACAATGTTTCTCCAGAAATGCCTCTGAATTTCAGATGTTCTACAATTTTGATCATTATTGTGAGAGAAATGGTTATTTTATTCAGGTACCCGTCTCCTTTCTAAAGGCAAATGAACTACAGTCTTAAAAGTGTCATTGTTTTCTTATCCTTAAGTCTGACAAGCATAAGCCCCAATCAGCAAGTTAACTTGGTGCCCTTTATGATTTTGAAGTTAAGTGATTGCTCATTTACAAAGAAGTAATTTGCAATACTTTTTAAAAACCCCATTTACTGTAAGTTGAGAAATTGTTTAGGTTATAGTTTGAAATTTAGCTTCTTAAAATCAAATTGCCCAGCAGAACCCTTCGCTGAATGCACAGGTGTGTTCATCCCTGTAAGTATTTCCCAGTAGGGGCTGGGTGAGGAGTAGTGCTCTTACACCCTAGTCAGCAGCACCATTGCTTGGAACCTGGACCACTTTAAAGTTAGGTATAAAGGAAACTTGAAGTGCTTGTCATCTTTTTTCTCTTCCCTCTTGTGTATCACCAGACAACTATCTTCTCTCCCTTTTGTTGGTGCCCATTGTGTATCTTTTAAAAGAAGTACTGTATCCAGATGCCAGCCAATAAATTGTCACACAATGGAAAAAGAGTATGCCACAGCATTGTAAGGTTTAATAAAATTTAAGTTTGCACCAAACTTAAGTGTGCTCTTATTAACTCTTAATTCTTGATGAGTGTTACCTGGAAATACATTACAATGGATTCCATTTTAGAAAAACTGCCTACTTGGTAATTTACAGCCAGTTAGAACTTACCCACACCATTTATTAATGGTCTGCTGTACAAGTAAGATGACTTGCATATAGTTTGCTGTAACTTTTTCTCTAGTAATACCATAGGAACTGCAGACTGGGAAGACTAGTGAAAAGCACAGGACTGCCTAGTAAGCTTGTTCTTGTCTTTAATGTTTTGTATCATGTGCAGTGATAACATGCCATAAAGGTGAGTTTTCATTATATATATATATAATTTTTTACATACTAATCTCAGTTCCCTCCTCCTTCCCCTCTTCCCACCACTCCCACCTTCCCTTCATCCCACCCCCATCTGCTCCTCAGAGAGAGTAAGGCCTCCCATGGGAGTCAATGAATTTTGTCCCATCACCATGTTGAGGCAGGATCAGCCTAGATACCTAGGCTGAGCAAGGTAACCCTCCATAGGAAATGGCTCCAAATAGCCAGTTCGTTCATTAGGGATAGCTCCTGGTCCCACTGCCAGTGGCCCCACAAACTGCCCAAGCCACCCACTGTCACCGGCACTCAGGGGGCCTAGTGAAGGTAAGTTCCTTTCCCTGTGTCTTAAGTTATCTAATACAGGATTTTAATTGAACTAGGAAGTTGGTCATAATTCTAACCTCATGAGTATAAGTTAGAATTCAGTGTCATAGCTTTTCCCTTTTGGAACATTATTGTCTGCCTTATTCATGGGGGTCTTTTTGACCATTTGTCTTTATTCCCATCAGTGTGTTAACTATGGTTGTCTACATCATCACCAGATATTTAAAAGAAAAATCTTACCAAGCTTGAGAGCAAAAGGGTATCTCTAATTTTTAAGGGTTTGAACAAAAAGATGGATGTGTTGGGATCCTGTTCCTCACAGTGCCATATTTCGTTGAAGTTTGGACTTTGGGAGTTAGGAGGAATCATTGGTTCTTGAGTATCATGTTACTTTATGTTTGTCATAAAAGGCCCATTAAATAAGATTTTCTCATTAAATTACAGCTTTACACTATTATGTGATTTGAGTTGGTTTTCCTCATGAGTTCCTTTTAACGATTTGATGACAAGTAGTTTTGTTAGTGCGGTTGGGCTATACTTATTTTGAATGCTGTGGTGTGAACTAAGAGGTACCCAGGACTTGACATAATGCCAAAACTATAAATGAAAAGATCATTCTATTTTATTTATGAATCATAAAGTCTCTCTAGTCTTCAGTGAAGAGAGTTCTACTAATACAGGATGTCTGAGTTTATTATTATGTATCTGTTTTTTTCCAGTGCTGGGATTACAGAAATGAGACCAGTTAGTCTACCTTTTTGGCCAGTAGACAGCAATTCCTATTTATCTTTGTGGTAGCTAATGTTAAAAGATCTATGGCTTATGTGAGTGTAATTTTGTAAAGAAATTGTAGAAACTTAGTTACGAAACACAAACCTCTGACTTGTCTGTGTTCTTAACAACTGGAATATTTTAGTATGTAGTAGAGCATATACCCAGCAGTGGACATTTCCATTAGCTGAACTGTGGACACTTCAAAGTTTACCAGTTTTCCACTAACATCCTTGTATCTGGACCCATTCTAAGATCACTTGCATTTAGTCTTTTTGTTTTCTTATCTCGCTTTAATTTTTTCCTAAAATAGTGTTTTAAAGTTTTTTATAGCACATTCTCTTCTATTCAGGTTTCTCTTCTATTATACAGGGCAGGGCTGTAGTTATCTAGATAGGCATATCCTTCTTGTTCTTTCAATGAATATACTGTTTAAGCATGGCCATCACTGATGATGTGAACATTAATCACTTAGTTAAGAATGTAACTACCAGGTCTGTATATTAAAGTTCTATCGTTTCATTCCACATTATATTCTTTGGAAGTAAGTAAGTCATTAGCTCCAAATGATGCTTGAGGGGAGACTTAAGCTTTAATTTCTAGGAAGGGCCATTTGCCTGTGTTACTTGGAATTCTAATGTAAAGGAGATTTGATTCTTCTCATTTACTCAGTTATGTTTCCATATATGTTACCAATGCATTTTTGTAACTAAAAAATTGTATTTTGTTTTTAAATTGTCCCAGCTTTTGCTAAAAATGAGTCACTACAAGACGCCCAAGGCTGGGATTGTGCTCAATGGTGGATGCTTGGGTTGGGCTCAGCACCCCCACTCCTACCCCAAATACCAGACAGTGGGATCTCATGGTGTGGAGACAGTAAAAATGAAACCAAACCATATACTATGGGCGAGACAGGCAGGGCTTCTTCACTGGGGTTCACATTTCTTGTAGAAAGGGGCAAGTGCTGATCAAAGAGGTGATTGGGCCACTCTGTTCATACTTTGATTGGGGCTAAAGGGTGATGGGGACTAAGTTTTGATACATTTTCATTATCCATGAGCTACTTGAAAGGATGTTTTCCTTTCTTTGTAATATTCTGGCCTTGAGTTTGCAGGCTAACATGTGGCTGACTTACCCTAGCAGATGTAGTGTACAAACATCTTAGCTTGGTTTGGGTCTTGTGATCAGGCTGTGGGGCTTTAGGTACTTGAGCTGTTGAGAAAGCACTAGGGTTGGGTAAAAGCATGCCAGATCCTATCAGCAATAGGCCAAGTTATCCTTGAGTAGGAGTTTGGGATCAGCATGTAGAGCTAAGTAGGATTTGAACCAGGTAAGACTTGAGAGGCTAGATGCCACATGAGGACAGATACCAGGCCTTTTGTCTCATTTTAGTCACCCATCAGCATTTTCAGGTTTGAGTCAATTCAGCATTTGTAGTGCAAGTGGCCTTTAAGTTTTTGCAAAGTAACCTAGGCAACTATTACCATAATTCAAATGTCAGGTGTGATCTACTGCAAAGCTATTGGGAAACCAGTGTCTTACAAAACTGTGACATTCAAAGTCAAGGGCAACTAGAGTTGCTCTCGAAGACCTGACTTGTGTTGGTTATGAAGGTATATCTGGGGCCAGTTTGTGGGATGAAGATTTTCTTCCATTACAGTCTCCCCGTGTATCTTCGTTTACCCCATCATCTTGAGGAGTTTGGTATCTGCATGAAGTCGTTTTCATGACTATTACAAATGCATCTCTTTTGCACAGCCCATCTAGTCAAGGGGCTTCCGGCCTTTAAACAATCTGGCACACTCTGAATTCAAGAATGAGGACAGAAGAGAACACACCATGTTTTTAATGAATAACAGGTCAAGAGGCCAGACCAGAGTTCATTTGCCTTTTTGTGGTCACTATCTCAATCCCAGCTGCTGCTACAACTACCAAGTCCTTTAGGTTCATCTTGTATTTTGTCTGAGCCAGCTGTGTCCCAAAGCATCTACCTCTCATGGGAGTACAGTGTTGTACAGTCTGGAATGTGTATGCTGGATGTGTTTATGCCCTTGGGGCATGCTGCTTCTTGAGGTCGGTGAGCCAGTCAGGAGAGCTAGGGTTGTGTCCTAACATGCACCCTGAAATGATGTCTGTTGTAGGTCTGGTTTGACTTGGTTCAGTTTGGTTTGGTTGAGTACAGTTTAAACAGGTCTAATCAAGTAATTGAACCTGACCTGAAATTCCAAGCCCTCCTGCCTCAGTTTCCCTGGTGCCAGTATTCTACGCAGGCCACAGTGTTCAGCTCTACCTGTGTATTTATAAGCCTGACTTTATATCTTTAACTCCTAATCTAGCACCTTCAGATTCATTCTAGTTCCCACTTTGGTACCTTTTCAAAGAAAAGCTAACCTCTTATTATTCACAGTGTAGTTGTGATTGGTTTGGTGTGTGTATTTGCATGCGTGCAAAGGTGCTTGCACATGTGCCACTGTGTGCATGCAGAGGTCAATCATACCTTAGGTGGGAGTCAGTTCTCATTCCATCAGATGGGTCAAGGATCAAGCTTGGCATGGCAGCAAGTACCTTTACTCACTGAGCCATTTTGCTGACTTCATTGCCTATTTTTAAACAGGTCCCTAGGAATCAAAGTGAGTATTTTAAGTAATATAAAATTCTGACTACCAGCCATAACTTTCACCATAAAGACAGGTAAAGTAGAAACCTGTTGTCTTTTATTTTCTCAGCGGGACTGACCTCATGTTTCCCAGACTGTCTTTTAACTTCTGTGAATGATGCATAGCCTATTAACAGTTTTCTTCATTTTTTTTTTTTTAAGACATCATCATTATGCTCTAATTTGTGCTTTGTGTTTTTGCAACTTGTATTTTGTCTTAGATAAAATTGGAAGCCAGGCTTGATGGAGTATGCCTTTAATCCCAACAATTACGGGGTGAGGGCAGGAGAATCAGAATTCAGAGTCATTCTCCATTCAAAGTCAACCCGAACTACACGAAACCTTGTCTCAAAACAACTACAAAATCATACCCTTTGAATTTGAGTGTATGTTTGCAAATGACCTGAAACTAGTTCATCCTGTGTAGTCCTAAACTCTTCACTATGACGGTTGGAAATTACTCAGTTCTGTTTGTTCTTTGCAACCAGGGATTTCAAGGGATTTATTATTAAGATGTGGAATTGGCTGAAGAATAAAGACGATGAGGAGATCAAAAACAAATGTTAAGGTTTTAAAGTTTTGTTAATCTTTTAAACCATCTAGAAGTAATTAAAACATTTTTTTTTTAAGTCCTTGAAATTGGCCCAGGAAGAAATAGTTCCTTAGCCACTGCCTTGTAAAGGGGATTTTACTTTCAAAAAGAATGTGTTTCCTTTTGTAAAAAACTTTAAAACTTTTATTCTGTAACCTTTATATAGTGTGTTCCCAATATTGTCACACATTGTGTTAGTTACTTTTCTTGTTGCCATGGCCAAATACTGGACAAGAAGCAACATGAAGGAAGGGTGTATTTTGGCTCTTATTTTGAGGGTACCAACTGTCATGGGGAAGGTATAGAGGCTGCTTGCTTAAGAAGCAGAGAGCAAAGGATGC